GTACAAGTATGAAACCCTAGAGTTGTGTACCCCCTAAAGGCTAACCCACTATAGCCTACACAGCAATAACATATATGATAATGTTTGACACACCCCCATAGGCAAAGTGGGGGAGAGCAAGGGGTCACAAGACCAGTCAAGAAAGGCAAAGCAAGCTCAGGGTGGATCACAACGTCACCACACAGTCTGAGCACAAGCAAAGGGCCACAGGGCCAGTTCAAATGCAGAGGCATATATATACAACACAAACAGCAAGGTGATCTCAACCTAACAAAAAACAAACAAGCAGGTGTATATATATAGAGATCACAGTACAGACAAAGCCTACAGTAAGTGAGGAACAGTGGGCACAAGCCCCAGTATAGTGCAGAAGCGCTGATGATCACCAGGCTGAAGTGCCTTGGTGAATATATCAGCAGTGTTGGCCCGAGTGGCCACGTAACGCAGACAAAGCTGACCACGCTGCTGCAGCTCTCGAGCCAGGAAGTAACGGAGAGCGATGTGCTTCGTTCTGTGCTCCAGTCTGTGCTCCTGACACAAGGCAATAGCAGCCTTGTTGTCGACGTACATCACTGGAGGAGAACTAGGCAGCTCTTCCAGGTCAGTCAGAAGGTAGGTCAGCCAGCGTAACTCCTGTGCAGCCATGGCTGTGGCGTAGATCTCAGCCTCACAACTGGAGCTGAGAACTGAAGACGAGCGAGTAGAACGCCAAGAAACTGAACCAGAGCCAAGGCTGAAGGTGTAACCCTGTGACGACCGCTGAGTAGCCTGGTCGTCAACCCAAGAAGCGTCTGAGTACCCAGTGAGAACAACTGAGCGCCTCCCTCCAAGCACGAGCCCCATGCCCGATGTACTGCACAAGTAGCGCAATACCCTCTTTGCAGCATCCCAGTGCACCTTTCGGTGCCTGCCAGGAGCCACGTAGCGGGCCAGAAGGCCAAGAGGGTATGCTAGGTCAGGACGAGTGCAAGTCATCAGGTACATGAGGCAACCAACTAGCTCTGGGTAAGGACCACTCGGCTCTACGGACTCATCCGAAGGCAGAGCTGAGAGCGAGTGACCTATAGCCAGAGGAGTGGCCTGTGCTGAGGACCAGGTGAAGCCGAAGCGCTGAAGGACCTGCTGCACCATGTGTGACTGAGTCAGTGTGATGGTGCGGCGTGCTCTGTCCCGGGTGATCCGCAAGCCAAGATAGCTTGTCAGTTCACCCAGGTCTGTGCACGTGTGTCTCTTCTGCAGCTCCGACTTCACGTGGGCGAGAGCCTCAGTGTCAGCAGTGGCAAAGACCAAGTCGTCGACGTACACGAGGATGTAGAACGGCGGCAGTGAAGTGTCGGTGCGCAGGAACAGCGACGGGTCAGCAGTAGAAGACGAGAACCCAAGAGCCGCAAGTGTAGTCCTCAGTGTGTCGTGCCACTCACGTGGAGCCTGGCGGAGACCGTAGACCGGCCGCCGGAGGCTCCACTGGGTACCAGGAGGAAACGACCCAGTGAAGCCAGGTGGGCGGCGCAGCCAGATCTCCTCGTGCAGACTGCCCTGCAAGAAAGTTGTGCTGAAGTCAAGAGAGTGAAGCTCGTAGTCACGCTGAGCGGCAACGTGCAGTAGCACCCGAAGAGTGGTCATCTTCGGGGTGGGGGAGAAGGTCTGAAAGAAGTCTACTCCCTCTCGCTGACTGAAGCCTCGAGCGACGTACCGAGCCTTGAAGACAGGCGGAGAACCTGGCGGTCGCTTCACCCTGAAAATCCACATGCCACTGACGATGTTCGCCCCAGGAGGGGGAACCTCGTCGACGTAAGTGCCAGTGGATTTCCAGGATGCCATCTCTGCATCCATGGCTGTCTGCCACTGAGAGGAGTACTCACCCGCGATCGCCTCAGCGTAAGAGCGCGGGGTCGGGATGTCTGGAGCATCCGGGTCTCCCTCAGGTGCAATCAGCATGGACACGAGATGAGGTACAGCGGCGGCAAAGCACTCAAACTCCTCCTGCCTGTCCTCAAGGACGTCCGTGCCAAGAGCACACTCACCCCCCGACGGACGGAGGACAGACAGACTCAGACTCAGCAACAAGACTGGCAGTGTAGTCGAGTCTACAGTGAGCAGCAAAGTCGACAAGCTCAGTGACTAAGGCAGACGCAGCAGCTGACTCAAAGGAAGGGTCAGTGACAACTGTGGACAGGAGACGCGCGACAGTAGGACTAGCAGCACGAAGAGAGTCAGACTCTGGGTCAGCAAGGGCAGGAAGGGAGGACGCAGGAGGAGAAGGCAGAGGGACACGCCGTGGAGCAGTGGAAAGACGAAGCAGCATCGGGTGAGTGTAGGGGACAGCAGGAGGACGCTGACGCGGGACACGACGACTAGGGCGAGCAGTACGAACAGGTGACGCAGAACGAGACTCAGGCGACACAGGACGAGACTCAGGCTCACGACGCTCTGTAAGACCTCCTGTCGGACCAGTGTAGGGAGAAGGACCAGGAAGAGGTGAGGTGGGCTGGAACTGCGACTGTAACCGGACAGGCGAAGGACACCCTAAGGAGGGAGTAGGACAAGGAGGAGGCGGCTGACCAAGAACCTGCTGAAGAAGCGGAACGAAGTACGGCCGCGGCCGTGACGCGCCCCCAGAACCAGCAGAGAGTACCAGAACCTCCAGCAGCAGCTCCAACTCCCGCAGCACCAGTAGCACCTCCAGGAGTGCCAACCCCAGGACCTCCAGTAGTACCAGCGACAGCAGCACCACCAGTCCCAGGACTAGGAGCACCACTAGGAGCTACAGCAGCCCCAGTACCCCCAGCAGCACCTCCAGCAGCTCCAGTACCTCCAGCAGCACCAGCAGCACCTCCAAGAGCTCCAGTACCTCCAACAGCACCAGCAGTACCTCCAGCAGCACCAGAACCTCCAGCAGCACCAGCAGCACCTCCAGCAGCTCCAGTAGTACCTCCAGTAGCTCCAGCAGGGGGTAACTCAAAACGAGGAGCTCCACTCCGGAGGCTGCAGCGCCGAGCGTACCACTCACGTAGTAGCTGGGAAGAGGGAGCACCAGTAGGGTCACCACCCCAAGGCTCAGAACCCCGAGGCTCAGCACCCCCAGTCTCAGTACCCCCAGGCGCAGCACCCCTAGTCGCAGTACCCTCAGTCTCCGTACCCCCAGTCGCAGCACCCCCAGGCTCAGCACCCCCAGTCGCAGCTCCCCCAGGCTCAGCACCCCCAGTCGTAGCACCCCCAGGCTCAGCACCCCCAGTCTCAGTGCCCCCAGGCTCAGTACCCCGCTCAGGACCAGAGTCAACAGCTACCTCGACAGGCTCGACTGCGTCTACCTGGGAAACACCTGAGGGAGCAGGACCCTGGGGAGGGAGGGGGTCTACCGGAGGGGCACCTGGGGTGAGGAAGAGAGGCGGGGGGGGGGAGAGGAGCAGTGCGGTAGGGGAACAGACGGTAGAAGGGTACCGAATCGTCAAAGGTGACGTCCTGAGACGCAAAGGCACGGCGCGAGGTGGGGTGGTAAAACCGCCAACCAGGCGCGTCGGGGACAAAGCCAAGGAAGACACAAGGCACAGCGCAGGCGGAGAGCTTGTCCGTAGTGGTATCGCGGACAAAGGCACGAGCACCCCAGACCCGGAAATGCGACGCATCGCCAACCTGCCCCGTCCACAGCAGTGTGGGCGAGGTCTCCGGAGCGGAGACACGGGGCCAGAGGTTGAGCTGATGCGCAGCGTACTGGACCGCAAACGGCCACAGAAAATGGGGGGCAGCCGCATGGATCAAGGAGGTACGAGCGATCTCCATGACCAAGCCAATGCGGCGCTCAGCAACCCCATTCTGCTGAGGAGAGGCCGGAAGCGTGAAAGTCTGGCGGATGCCGTGCTCCGCACAGTAGGTTGCCAAGAGGTCATAGGAGAACTCACCACCTCGGTCAGAGTGCAGACGCAGGACGGGAAAGTCCGACTGGAACCGGTCGCGGAGCTGGAGGCGAGCAGCGCGGATCCAAGGGATCAAAACATCAGGGACCTCACCCTTGGTGCGCAAGGGGAAGACCGTGGTGTAACGCGTGTAGTCGTCGACAACCAGCAGGAAGTACCGCTCGTGGCCCTGTCCACGGACGCGGGCTGGGCCCCACACGTCCAGGTGGAGAGTCTGCAGAGGAGCCTCTGTGGGAGGGAACGAGGAGGAGTGAGGAGCGGCGCGCTGCCGTCCCTCGACGCAGGGAAGACAGGGAGGAGCAGGCGAGGGCGGGAGGGGAGGGAGAACCCTGGGAAGACCAGAGACAAGGTACCGGGAGTGCATGCCACGAAGGCGCTGCACTGACGGGTGACCAAGACGGTGGTGCCAGAGAACTGTCTGGTGTGACAGGGAGCGACACGAGCAGGGGGCCGACAGCTGACCTGACGCAGACGCAGACGCAGCTACCTGAGGGGACTCAGTGGTCAGTGTGTACAGGTCCGACCCCGGCTGCCGAGTGAAGGTAGCTAGGTGGCGACCTGTCCTAGCACACATACAGTGGGTCACACGCTCATAGGCAGGGGTGAACTGGTGAACACCCCCATCATGAAGAGCAGAGCCCGCCACCAAGTTCGTAGAGAACGAGGGGAGGTAAAGACCCGACAGGGCGCCGGACGGGACCGCAGGACAAGGAAGGACAGTGGAGGAGGTCGCAATGACCGGGCCCCCAGAGGGGTCAGCGAGAGAGACAGCAACCGGCCGAGCTAGCTGCTCAAGGGCAGTGCGGTCACGGAAGAAGCAGCGGGAAGCACCCGAGTCGAGTGTGAAGGTGTGCAGTGCCTCAGTGGACGCAAGTACCAGCAAGCGCAGACGTACTAGCACCGGGGGGAGCAGACGCACTAGCACCAAGAGCATCAGCCTCACCAGGACCTAGGGCAGCAGACGCACGCGTACCAAGAGCAGCAGCCTCACCAGGACCTAGGGCAGCAGACACACTAGCACCTGGAGGAGCTGTCTCACTGGTCCCAATGCCAGGGTCTGGCGGTACACCCAGGTAACAGTCACCCTCAACACTAATAGTCAATGCATACATGGCACCAAGGATAGCATCAAAGTCAAGAGCAAAGATATCAATGTTCTTCCTAAGCAGATCAGCCCAGCGGGGCAGCTCAGTGGCGTCAGGAAACTGCTCACGCCAGGCGTCGTCAAGACGAAAGAAGCAGCGCTGCGCTGTGTGGAACCTCCCACAGGTCTGGCCAGTGCGGTCACCTGTGCGGATGACGTACGGGCAGGTACCTCCCCCCCCAGACCCCCCACGCTGAGAGTACCACTCACGGAGTTGCTGGGGCGAGGGAGTCTGCCGCTGCTGCCTCTGGCCGCCGCCGAACCCCCCACACTGCACCGCTCCACCACCGCCACCACTGCCTCCACCGCCTCCACCGCCCCCACCGCCCCCACCACCCCCACCACCGCCACCGCCTGTGCCGCCACTGCCCCCCCCAACCACCCGCGCCACTCCCACCCCCCGCCCACCCCACCACCTCCACTGCCGCCGCCCCCTCGTCCATCTCCACCACCCCTGCCCCCCTTGCCCCTGCCGCCCTTGCGTCTCCCACGAGGAGCAGACGCGGCCCCGACTCCCTCAGCTCCGAGGTAGCCGACAGCAGCAGCAGAGGCAATGGAGGGGAGGAGGGGGGAGGGGGAGCACCCCTCAAAGAAGGGGGTGCGGGGGTCACCACGAGAGGCACCTACAGCTACAATGCTCTTCTCAGCTGCTAGGAGTTCCTTCTCGAGGAGATCGACAGTGAGGTCAGTGGGGGAGAGGGCAAGGAACTGGTCCCTGACAGAGCGAAGGGAGTCAGGGAGGCGGGTGACAAGGTGGTACAGTGTGAGGTACATCGGGGGGGGGGTTCTTGGCGAGGAAATCGGGGGGGAGAGCGGCACGGTAGCGGAGGTCACTGGTACGGAGGTGGGTGATGAGGTCAGCTACAGTGGCAAACGCGGACAGGTCGGGGAAGAGATAGGGCAGTGAGAGACGGCCTATAGCAGCAGTGGCAGGGGAGGAGTAGCGTGCGACTACCGCGTCGTACAGCTCCTAAAGGCTAACCCACTATAGCCTACACAGCAATAACATATATGATAATGTTTGACACGTCGCAATTTGCATGGCGCACGAAACCCGGCTGGCCATCGAATGGATTCCACGGGCCCTCAATGCGCATGCAGATGCACTGTCCAAGTTGGAAGACCACGATGATTACTCGCTCAAGCTCCCCTGGTTTCGATTATTGGACAGGCGTTGGGGATCACACACCATCGACCTATTCGCGAACGCCAACAACGCATAGCTCTCGTGCTTCTGCGCTAAACATCCGCACCCACGCGCAACTACCATAAATGCATTTTCGCTCGATTGGGGATTAGAGCACGGCTTCGCATTTCCGCCACCGAGCCTCATCCCCGCGACCCTGCACCATGCCGCACGCACGAACGCCACAATGCCGCTGGTCATTCCCGAATGGACAGGCGCTGCTTGGTGGCCCCTAATCAGACCCTCCCCACACACTTGGGCAATCGGCATTTCCTCCATCCTCTATCTTGCTAGTGGTAGTCAATGCTTGCATGTGGGCTCCCTTGCGCGTTTCAAGGCTACACCAAGGTTGAAATTCTCAACGGGGGGCTGAAGATGGGCAATTATTTTCTGGATTGATAGTTTTTTATGTGTTGTTAGTAGGTGGGGTGGGACTTTAGATTCTGACAGTGATGTGTTGTAATCGAAGAGGAAATAAATTATTGTTGCAACAAGCCATTTTTCTACAAATAGTCTTAAAGATTTCCACAAAAAGCTGGAGTCTAGGTAGCGTCTCAGAACACGTCTATGCATCTTAATTTGTTGTCACAATAAGAAACTCCGGGTTGAGAACACTAACACATCTCACTCTACTATGGAGAACTCTCCATGCTGCAAAATAGCAATGTGATCAATTTTAAAAGGTGTAGAACATTGTGCTGTAAAAGGACGAATATATACATGTTTTTAAAGTAGAACAGATGCAGATAGCATTACGTGCTTAATAAAAGGAGCATAATGTGGTGCAGGGGTTAAAAATTGTATTACAAAGTACTACGAAACTTTGACAATTAGTTTCCGTGTGACATCCTATTCCGTGTACATTGAAGCAAGCAACTGGCCATCCAGGTACATTAGGTGTATGACGTGGTTGAAAAGCTGGGGCTGGAACTGGGCTGTATGGTACGTTACTTCTCTAGCCTCACAAACTTCTCCCAACCACAGAACGCCGGTCAAGTACCGTCAAGTGTCTGAGCTGACCTCCAGGTTCGGCTCACAGGCTTGTTCACCAAAGCGCGATACCAGTGGGATGCATCCCTGGCAATGTTTTTGCAGAGAAACATTTGCGGGCACCATGTTATAAGGGTCAACAACAGACCTTCGGAAGAATCCCAATTGCTGGTTATACAGTGCAAGCAGAGGCATAAATCTCAGGCAGAGAGAAAAACAAGTGCCAGATTGCTGTTTATACAAGCAGGGTCAAGGGTTCTTGGACACAAGCTGTGTCCATCACCACACTAATCGTACAGATTGTCAGGTTCCCTCTCATGTGGAAGTGCAACAAATTCACCTGAAGCTGTCATCTTGCCCCTGGTTCTTTCAATCCCAACAACTCCTTCAGACCCCCTTCCAGCTCACATGAAGCCTGACCGATCACTTTCCCAGACCTAGTTCCTCCAGCGCCACAGACCTTCCCAACCAGCCGAGCAGCGTGGCGATCTCCCAGTGGGGGCCAGACCGAGGAAGATGCTCCTCGAACCAATAGCGCAAACATGTCGGCTTCCAAGCCGAAACCGAACCAAGTGTCCAAACGAGCCGCTTCCCAAGCTGACTGTCGAAATCGGCTAGCTAGGGAAGAGCGGGCACTCGCGTTCCTGCATTTCCTCTCACAAAATTCAGCCCCCAACAGGACCATTCGCAAATATATATTCCACGCCAAATCATTTATTCTACCACAAGCAGTGAATCACTATTTGATCACCCGTGATCACATTCAGTTCAGCGTGAGGGATTTCCGCCTGCTAGCCAGTATGAAGACTTCCACCCTCCTCTGCGGGATTTACTGCTCTCCGTTCTGCTCTTCGCTGTTAACGCCGTCCCTGGTAAGTAGAACATTCAGGGAAATATGTCCCTCAAAAGCTCGTTGCGCGCAATGCAAACACAGACCCACAATTCGGAATTGCTGACAGAATTGACGAGAACATTGCGCGCCTGTGCATGCAGACCGGGTCTCTTCTCTGGCGAACAGGCGGGTTTTGAGCCATGACAACAACTACGACTCGTCTTGCCTGGGAAAATTCAAGACAAGCCAGTCGAAATGCAGGAGGGATCACAAGTGCTGCGACTATAACGACTCGTCGTACGACAGCTCCGCATGCTCGAGGAAGATTGACAGTTGCGAGGCGAAGGCGTACAAGAAATTTAAGGCGTGCAAGTACGGCGACGCGAAGCCTTCGTCGTCTAACAGCTGTTATGACTGGTGCAAGTACGTAAAGAAGCAGTGCAAGGACGATGACGACGAAAACTGCGACTATAAGTACAAGCGCTGCAAGAACGATTGCTGAATTGGGTATGGATGATGCAGGAAGTGCCTGCTTGTGCGGAGTCGCATGTGATGGTCGCTGGATAAGGCAGTTGGGTGAGTGGGAATAAACTTTGTTTGTCGGGAGCATCATGAAATTGTGACGTTTTGTGTGTGTGTACGAGGAGAATAGGATCAGGCGTGTGAAATCATGTGATGATGCATAAAAGTTTCGGAACCTTCCCTGATGCGATGAAACGGCTTAATCTCCTGATGTAATACGAACATGTCCTTACAGAGTACCTATAAACGCAAATAACGAAACAGGGTATATCGCACAACCAAAGCCAGGACGTTAGGCTTCGGTTCGGACGTATACCAGCTCCCTTCACAAACCTAGCTTCTTCGAAATGCTGTCTGCCGAAGCAAGTGCGCCATCTCAGCCAAAGGCGAGCCGCCGCCGTCTTTTGATGCGGAAGGAAGCTCCCGCGATGGCCAGAAGAACAGCGCCTCGGTTTTGAACCTCTCAGGCGCGAGCAGGAAATCGGGTGCAAGCAAAGAAACCAAATTTGTGTTCTTCAAATTTGGGTAGTTCAGTTTGATGCTGCAAATGTTGGACTGCGATGCGAGACGCTTACCAAGTCAGCTAATTTTCGAGAAGTTCATGTATGCTTTTCTTGATGGCGCAGGCTGAGAGGCAGTCTTGTGTGGCAGAGTGCATATCTGTACCCTTCACAGCGAACCTAATCAAGAAGCTGAGGCGCATCTGTCGTCGCACAACTTGAAGTCGCAATCGAGTCACCATTTTTTCACCAATTCTTGCCAACACTATTTTTCGCGCCTCGGGAGAGCCTCTCCCGTCGCGATTCTCCTCCTCTCGAATCTCAACCATGATTCGTGACGCGATTCCACGAAATGTGGGGATATCCAGCCTTTGCTTACTGCTTACGACTATAAATATGCCCCTACTCTCTTCCCAAAACAGCAGCAACTCTTCTGAGGTCACGCCATTTGACCAGCCGCCTTCCATCTATCGTCCTAAACTCAGCCATTGCCGGTGCCATTGCCCCAGTTTCCTGCCACCATGAAGACTTTCGTCGCTCCTCTCCGGGTTGGTTCTGTTGTCCGCACTCCTCGCCATAACTTCAGCTGCGGAGGAGAACGCAGTTTTTGCGTTCGATGCCACTCCAGCTGTGCCTGGTAAGCCTCTCGCGCCGAATTATGCAGGGTTTAGGACGCCAAGCAGTTTCGATCCTGGTAAAGACTATATTCTCTGCTGATTTCGTGATTGTTTATTGAAATGCGTGACGCAAAGCATGTTTCTACATTTTTCATCACCTGACAACCTATTTCCTTGGAATTCCCGTACTGTGTTCTCACAGAGGATGCCTCTGCGGTGGGGAAAGCAGGCACGTCCTGACTCATGTTGAAGCCCCGGGCCCGACGTGCATGGAGGAATTTAAGAAAAGCAGCAAGGAATGCACGAGGGATCACAGCTGCGCAACGGACGAGTGCAAGGAAAAGACCGACCGATGCATCGCCAAGGCGTACAAGCGCTTCAAGATCTGCAAGTTCCCCCCGACGAAGCCGCCCGCCGCCGCCGACTTGCAAGGAGTTGTGCAAGATGCTTTACGATCGCTGCAAGGAGTTCAATAGGGGCAGCTGCGGGGGGAAGTACAACAACTGCATTCAGAACAATTGCGATTAGTGGACATTGCTTGCAGCACGTTTGGAGACCATGCTGATGTGGCTACGATAATGTTTTCCGGGTTTTGGGAGTGTGATGGGAAATAAAGCGAGTTCAAGCTTTCCGATTGACACGATTTCGGAAGAGCCACCCCGGAAGGGAAGGCGTGTAGTGTTGCGCTCGTGGAAATAAAAAATAGTTCTCCTGGAAAGAATGTGGAATTGCGTGTCTTTGGTTATCTTATCATTGGTGGTATTGCCTAGAGAGGGACCAGGGCTGCCAGTATGTGTGGGGCCAGAACTTAGGAGGTTGAGCTGCCAGTATGTTTTGAGCCGCCCTGCCTTTGGCGTACGGGTTCAGGTCGAACTAAAAATCAGGGCGAGAAGCTTTTGTGTACATACGCGCTTCTGACCTGGTTGCGTTCTCGATTTGTATGTCATTTTTTTAGAAGGAGATCTTTGTCAAAATGTTATGATGCTTATATTGTGTAGGCTGTAGTGGGGTAGCCCATAAGGGGTACAATCCACCTAGGGTTAGTACTTGTAACCACTTTGATCTTAGTTCATCCATTCTCGTTCAGTATTCTGACACGGTTTCAGAGCAGGTCCTGTTCCAGGACC